CGTCCCCATGCTACAGCCACCTCCTGCCACACCAGGAACAAGACTGGAAAAGAGCAGCTCAATCCAGGCCCCTAGCTACACTTTTATCCCAGAACAATTTGTTGCTATGTTGGGTGAAATCCAGAAGACTAACCCATAGCCTGCGTGTGCCTTCATTCCCAGCACATCCCTAATTGGAGGGTTTAATTGGAGCTGAAATGGTTCAGGAATTCGGCCTGCTGCTCCTTGAGAATGAGAATTGACTGGACTGACGCACGATGCTCTGAAACCCTGGGACAACTCCTCCCTCTGTGGCGTTCATTTCCCCCGTCTCTAGAAAGCTTCTAGCCCAGACTCTGCAGACCCCACAGGCCCAAAGAAATGTCTTAGTGCTTGGGCACTTCCTCTAAGAGCCCCCTTTCGGGTTCACTTTGACTATCCGTCATCACCCGCTTGCAGAAGCCCTGGGAAAGGATCCCAGGGCTATTTGGAGGCTGAGACGGAGACTCGCCACGTTCTGCGCAGAGGGGCAAGCCCCAGGCTGCAGACAAACTTGGAAGGAACAGACATGAAGGGCAGGCATGCCCCATGGGGTCTGCAGCCGACTGCTTTACTGCCTGGCTTCCCTTTGCAGATCGTCTGAGGGAGGCTCTTCCCTCTAGCACGTTGGAGGGGGCCGCTACAGCAAACAGGATGGGCAATGGTTCCCGATGCACAGGGCCGAATGCCCAAACAAGAGCCAGGGTCATGGAGGGAACCAGCCACGGACAAACCTAGGCTGGGATCTCCCCGCTGCATGGTGGGCCCCTTCTCTGCTTGGTGCTAAGCTGGTCCCATTAGGTACAATTGTGCTGGGGTCAGTCTGTCTCCTGGGAAACATCATAACCCCTCTCAAGGCATAACAGAAATAATAAAATGTACTCCAATACATGGCTCTGATTTAAATAGGTCGCCTACCATGCACTCACTGGAAGGAGGGAGAAAGTCAGGGAAAGGCGGCAGCAAAAAGGTTTGCTGAAGTGTGATCCTTGCAGCGGCCTAAGGCTCAGCTCCTCCCATCTTCCTCTCGTTTGATGTCTCCCCGCTACCCAGGTAGCACCCAGTCGCCCGCCCACAGCCTTGCACAGCCCATGCTAGTTGAGGGCACACACCAGGAGAGGGCAGCCTTCACAGCACAGCTCTCTGGTCCTACCAAAACATCCATACAGCCCCTCTCTCAGCTGCAAGCATCATGTCTCCAAGGCTGGAGAAGCAACGTGCCCAGGCGAACGCCACGCAGCCAAGCCCAGGGTGGGCCAGCCCTGCCCGGCACCCACAGGTCAAACCCCTTGCTGAAGCTGGATCATGCAACAGCATCACAAGGACGATGCACACGTGCACACACAGACATCTGTACACACGCCAGCCACACCACCCACAGGCTTCCTGGGTCTGCGCCACAGCATGAAAGGAGCATCAGCCCCTTGGGGGTGGCCAACGAAGGGAAAACACCCACCACGGCCACAGGGGAGGGCTTCGACTACTGGCCGCCTGTCTGGAGCCGCACATTTTTAAACTGCCGCCTGCATCCGGCTTTTCCTGTGCAAGGCTCGTCTGCTTCTGCCAGGATTCATAACACTGAGCAGGCATTTCTGACAGCCTAATCCCCTCCGTCTGCATTCCCCATGGCCGGGCAAGGGGCTGGTCTCACAGCAGCGTTTAGACTCAGCTGCAAGCAACATCCCTTTGCATGCTGCCAATTAGCATTTGCAAATACTGCTAATAAATATTAGGAAGCGACAGCGCTGGCGGTGGAGCAGCTGCAGAGGAAGGCACAGTCCCCCGTTGCTCTGGGGACAGCGGTTTCCCCTTCCCCCAAAGCAAACACCAGGCAGACTCAGGGCGCGCTTGCAGCCACATGACCTGCTTTCCACCAAGTTCCTCTGACAGGACCGAGTGTGTGTCACTGACTGCACAGCCACATCCATCTGGCTGGGGAGAGTCAGGTGTGCAGCTGGGCGGGGGCCAAAGGCTGAAAGCAGGGGAGCACAGAAGGCCCTAGTGCAAGGACAATAAAGTGCACTGGGGAGAAAGGTGCAGGGGCTTCCCTCCCCAGCTGCCGGCAGGGCCTGGGCCCAGGACCCAAGATGCTGGGTAACATGAACGTACCAGACCCTTAGATCAGCACGTACATGAATCACCCCACTTCCAGGCCAGCCAGTCCCACTGTGGGGGGGTCCACTGGTGAATCAGACCCACATGCAGCAGGATCCCTTTGGGGTCAGGCAGCCCCCACCACCTCCTGCCTCTTCTAGTCATGTCACATACAGCATCGTCCGCTCTCAAGGCACCAGCTTTGCACGGCCCAAGCCCTCTGAGCCCGGCACGGGCTCAGCACCCGGCCTGCGCCAGCCCCTTGCATTCAGGAGGCAGCTGCCAAGCGGCGAGATGCCCAGTGCCATCACAACCTCAAATGCCAGCTCTCCCACAGACAACTCACAGCTACTCCCCAGTGGCAAGGAAATGCCGCAGGACTGTCTGCCGGGCCAGCCACACAGCCGCTCGCTGACGATTGCCAGAAGAAAAACACTGGCCGGACCAGCCACAAGGAAACTGAGTCGCGCCCCAAGAGATGCTGGGGCACGAGACTTCTGGTGCAATCAGAGCCGCGACGGCTCTGGGACAACAGGCTGTGCGTGGGGGCGCTGAGGCCTGCACCAAGCAGGCAGAAGTGTGCGCGTGTGCTTCTCGTGGCGAGGGGGGTGTTCCTGGGCAATAAGGCAAGGAAGGTGCTTGGAGTTGCAAAACAAAGCGGCCAGGTGCAGAACGCAGGGCGAGGGGACTCAGCTCAGTCGGTCTTCCCCAGCTTCGCGATCAGCTCATCGCAGATCTTGGTCAGCTCCTCGATCTCTTGGTTCTGGAAGACACACCAGCACCGGGAATGAGCAGCTGAGGCTCCCCCATAGGCCCTGCCCTAAGCTGGTGGGAAAGGCCTGCTATTGCACCGCCCTTTGGGGCAGTCACTCTGGCATGCCACCTACCCCGTGCCCCACGCACCTGGCCCGCAGCGCCCAAGCAACCAGGCGCAGCCCAGCTGGAGGAAAGGCAGGCATGGGGAAGAAGAGACCTGCTATCTAGCATGACGCCAGGGAGCTCCTCTTGTACAGGCTGGTGAGCCCATATGTGGGGAGAGACGAGCCAGCCTGGGTGTCTCTGGGCAGGCTGGTGACCCTCCATTGTGGGGGATGCATCACAGCCTGAGCAGGAACCTCATCACCATCCAGCCTCTGTGCTTCACACCCCCCGGGGAGGGGCAGCCTGAAACACAGCTCCCAAAACCTCTGCCCATAGCTCAGCATGGCTGCAAGCAGGTGGCGACGGGGCCTGAAAGGGAAGCGATATCCCAGCTCAGCCAGATTTTTGAGGCCTCCTCTCTCGTGCTGGCTCCGACCTGAGGAACCAGCCCAGGGTCAGCAGGAGACGCTGTGAATGGCAGCCCACCCCACACAGGGTCCCCGCTACGTCCCGGCAAGGTGGGGGTGGCCTTTACCTTCTGCTGCAGGGCTCTCTCCAGGGACTCCACCTTCATCTGCTCCTTGCGGAGGCCGGCGTGGAGGGCTGCACTCTCCGCCTTGGCTTTTGTGCGCACCTGAGCGATTTCTTCATTGGCTCTTCATTGGGGTGAGAAAGAGAGAGACACAGCATGAACACGCGTTCATCTCCCTGGCCAGCGCCCTCTTACACTGCACAGCCTGTGGGCAGTCACCCAAAGGCCAACAGGCCGAAGGTCAAGCTGCCAGAGTCCAAGCAACACCAGGCCCCAGCCCTGCTCACGGGGACAGCAGCTTTCTCATCCTGGAGGAGTCACGTAGCTAAAATCAGCTCCTAAACTGGCTTACTGAACTCTGGGGCAAATCCCAGGGTGGAAACTCAGCTGGCAGGGCTTGTTCCCACCTGGTTTAAACCTGCTCCCAGCCGACTTGCACGCACACAAACATGCCCAGCCAGGGATGTGTGCTGCTTTCCCGAAGCCCATTTGACTTCATACCTTGGGGCCAACTGCTGCAAACCTGCCATGACGCCGAGGCCAAGGGAGGGGGCCGGTTCTACCTTCCTTCTTTAGGAATCGGAGACTCCTTGTGACCCCGACTCAGGAAGGCCGGAGGGTGCAGCCTCGTGAGGTCACTCCCAGAAGCAACCCTAATCATGCTGTGGGTAACCCCCAGCTTTACTGCCACGCTGAAAGCACCACATGTCAGACTGGAGGGACGCAGCTCGTCCCCGGGGCAGCTCCCTGCGAGAGGTCAGACGCACTACCGCAGACTGCTGGCTCTGCTCTGCAGCCTGGGTTATCTTGGAGCGTCGGCTTCCTCTCAGCAGGAAGCAGGACCCTTCTCAGCACTACACCGTGGAGCGAGCCCTGCCAGGGCTGGCCTTGCTCAGGTCCTTACTTGTCTAACTTCTCTTCTGCATGGATTTTCAGGGCCTGGTACCGCTGCTCTTCTTGCTTGACCCGGGTTAAGTAATCCTGAGCACATTTCTTCAGAGCTTCTTCATTCTGGAAAGCAAATTGCACAACCCTGGTGACTCACCGAGCAAAGGGGGCGAGTCCATCCACGCTGATAAACTGCTGCCTAGCGGGGATGTCATGCACAGAACTGGACATCTATCCATCCCTCCACAAGCCACAGACCCCCTCTACGCTCTCCCACAATGCCCTGCCTTCGCACCAGCCCCTGGCCACCCTCCCTCCTGCTCCTGAGGTGCTGCTATTCGTAGGAAGAACGTGACAAAGAGGAAACAGCTCCACAGTGTGACCAGCAGCAACCACCAACCTCCCAACAGTTATCATCTGGGCCAGGCCCCTGCTCCAGGACCAGAGCGCTGGCTAGCGAGAGAAAGCCGGGAGGCACGAGAAACACCATTCAAAGCACCTTTTTAAATCCTTCCAGGACGCCCTTCAGGTTCTCGTATCGCCTGAACAAATCTGACAGGGACCTCTCCACCGAGTTGAGGTCTGCCAGGGCCTGCTCCTTTTCCACCGTGAGCTGCTGCAGGTTCTTCTGCGAGGTCATGTTCGTCCTCTGCTCGTCCTCTGCGGATCGGAAGCATACCATGGTCATGCCACAGCTCCTGCCCTGCAACCCTACGTGGGGCTGACCTGGCTTTGATTCCTCTGGGGGGACTCTCCTGCTCTGGGATGAGACACCAGTGGAGGGCTGCTGAGGGCTTGGGCCCAGACGCCTTGCTGGCTGCATGCCCAGGCTGCACTGCTGCGAAGCAGAGCCTGGGGGAGCCAATGTACAGGACTCCCAGGACCACGGGACAAGGGGACTACCCCCAGCAACCCTCCGCAGCACGTGCTGGGACAGGCGGCAGCAGCTGCATGCAGAAGGGTCTCTGCAGTGAAGCCAGCAGGGCTGGCCAGGGTGCTCTCAGGCAGCTGTAGAGACCAAGTCCACTTGTGCACCCGGCACCCCAGCCCCCCCACACCAGTCCCTGGCTCCCCCCCGAGGGCCTCACCTATCATCTGGGCAATGGTCTTCTCATATTCAGCCACAATTTTCCTAGGATGAAAGGGAAGGGTTGTTAGCTATGCCTGGCTTGGTGTGGGCTGCTGACACGTGGCATCCAGCACACCATCACTGAACATGCTGCACAGGGTCTGGCAACCCCAGCCACTGCAGGTGGGTCGAGGAGTGGCCTTGTCTGACTCTGCCAGTCTTCCCCTGCCCCCTCTTCTCTACTCATCCCCAGCAGCCTCCCCCAGCACTGCCCTTGCCTCCCCCGGCTCCCTGACACAGCTGGTCTGGATCCAAGAGCAGGGAGCGGCTGTCATACCATGCTGTCTGCCACGGCATGTCCCAGCCACGTTACCCGGGGCCAACCCGAGCCGTGGGTGAGGTGGCAGGAGACGTGCACCAGCGGTGCACCGTGCCGCTCAGCACTCCACCACCGGCGCCCCTGGGGCTGGACGGACCAGCCACCTCTGTCGCGTGGAGCCCGGCAGAGTCCGGCCTGCGGTGCCAGGTGGACCTGTCCATGCAGGGTTTCCCAAGTGGGCACACGCATTACCTCATTTCCAGGACTTCCTGCCGGCTCTCTTCGTACTTCTTCTTCCACCCATTCGCTTCAATCTCCTTTGCGATGATCTGGATCAGGGTGGACACAAAGCGCATCTCCTTACTCCCCGCCTCTCAGCACTCGCTCTGGGCCAGTGTATGGTGTGGAAGCCCTGTCCCATCCCTTGGGCCTCACCTCGAGCCCTGACAAAGGACTTGCTGTAGCCAAACACAGGCTGGTGCATTCAGCACGGGAGAACCGTGTCCCTGGGCTTGTGATACACCAGAGGAGGCCAGACTAGCTCTAACAGCTCCCTTAAACCCAGAATGATCCATCTGCCCCATGAAGCAGCCCCGCGGCACCTCCAGCTGCTCAGGAGACCAGGGGCACCTTGGCATCTGGGGCCATGGGGCGCTGGACATCGGGGAGGGTCCGGGTACCACCGTGTCTCTAATGTCACTGTGCTGGGCATGGTGCACACATGCACATCCCTGCACACACTCATGCACACAGGTGAAGGCCCCCAGGCACAGGCACGTCCCCTTGCACAATGCTGGCACCAGCACGCCCTGCCCTCACCTCTTCCCGTATTAACGTGAGCACGGCTGTCTTGTCCAATTCGTGGAGGCAAATGCTGTCCAAGGGATTCTCGCTTTGGCGCACTCCAGTCACAACAGCTGCCAGGGCTTTGTCTGCGGAGGCCAGGCCAGAGCTGCCCTGTGGGGGGGACAACCAGTCAGTGCCCTGCTCAGTGCATGGCCTTTCTGCCTCGTTCCCTTTGCCCAGGTGCCCCCCTAGCCCTACCGGCCTCTCTCCAAGCCCAGGACTTCCCACAGCAGTGTGCTGACCACTCAAGGCCCCGGCTCCTTTCCAGGAAGCCCCTGTGCAGGGCTGGGCTGGGCTGAGGCTCGCTGCTTACCTTGTGCCCTACAGCAATGTGCTACTGAGCCCGGGGCTGCTTGCAGAGCTCCTGCTTCACATCAGGAAGCTCGAGGGGAGGCACAAAAGCAACCCCTGCCAGAGCTCCCAGGAGCCTGGACTTCAACTGGGACTGATCGTGCTGGGATTCCCAAGAGCCTGACAGCTTGTGGGGCTGAGACCAGGGCCAGCCTCTGGGGCTGTGCAGAGCAGCATCCCGCTGACCACGCCCTGCCCTGCAGACACATTCAGCCAGCTGCTGCCTGCTGCATGGATGCACTGGCACGGGCTGCAGCACCCCCCGACTGAGTCGAGCCCTGGGGAGGCCCGGCAGGATGCCCCAGGACAGGAGGTCCTTGTGGAAGCCCAGGGCCTCCGGATGGACGGCTGCGCGCTTTCCAACAGCAGCCCCAGCTCGGACGTGCCCCGTGACCCCAGCTCGTTTTTGGCGAGCTTCCCGCTGGGCAGAGCTCCAGGACCCAGCAGGCTGCCAAGGAAACAGATGCACCTCTGCAGCTCTCCCCCGCTGGCCGGGCTATAATTAGCCCAGTCACATGTGCTCTGCTACAGGGTTTCTCCTTGCAAAATCCAGCTTTTTCCCTCAATGCTGCAATGCGAAAGCCACAGCGCCACAGCCCAGGAGAGACCTCACGCTGCACGTCCTGGCTCTCCGGTGTCCAGGCCAGGGCAGCTGGGAGGCTTCTCCTCTGCTCCGGGACATCATCCCCAATCTCTGGCTTCCTAAATCGTTAATTCTGTCCCCTTGGCCACTGTGACAGCCCCTCGCAGGGGTCTCCTTGGCAACCGGCTGCAGTGCCATAAATAGGGAAGCGCCACACAGCAGCGTGGGCTCTGGGAACAGACGGCGCTCTCCGGCTCGGAGCTCAGCACCAGCGCTGCCTATGGCATCCCTCCCCTGGGCCAGGCCAGGGGTGGATCCAACCCAGGTGCTCAGCGCCCCAGCAGGGGCAGCGTCCCTCGGCACAACCTCTGCTCGGGCACTCGCAAGGACAGAGCAGCTTCACGGAAGGACTCGCTCCCGGCTCCCTCTCTCAGACATGTGAGAGGACAAAGAAAAAGGAAAGAGAAAATAAGACCTGTCAACGTGGTTGCCCTGGCTTACCCCTTACGTGACCTGGCTCAGGTGAGAGGGGATGGATTTGACCTCTCCACTGCTGAGTTCTGACCTCACGACGTGGGGGCCAGGCTGACGCCCACGTCCCTCTGATAACGCTGATGCTTTTTAAATTTACTGGTCGGCAGTAAATAACACCTGTCCCTGACCGGGTCCAGGTGGCGAGGTCAGTAGGGCTCTTTAAGAGGGTCCCTTCAGGAAGAAGGGGAGAGGACGTTTTTAAAACATGCGCACAGAAGCACGGACCTCCGCAGATCTCTCGCATTCGCTAGATGCGGGAGTGAGTAACTTACCAGAAACCTAACTACCAGCTTAGTTGACTGTAATCTAGTTGCACATCAAAAGGCTGACAAGCCACTCAGATTTGCTCAAGGTTGATTTTCTTTCTATATTTTGCTACTGGTATGCCTTCCCCCTCCCTCACCCCCTCTTTGATCAATAAATCTATCTGTTTTAATATGCCTCGCTGTATGTACTTAAGAGGGAAGGGACCTGAAGGTGGGCTCAGGCTATTTTACTTTCCTCCTGCATGGGAGGCTGCTGGTGAATGCTTCAGGCTATACGCAAGCACCCTCAAATCCCAAGATCTACAGGGCCTGTGTATCCCAGGCAACACAGGGCACAGACAAAGACCTGAGTCCGGGTGGCGGCGGTACCCCAGGCTTCTGGGTGTGCTCTGGGAAGTGGGTCGGCCAGATGTAGGTGCCCCAGGGCAGGCACTCGAAGCTTGGTATTTGGCTGGGTGCAGAGAGGTGGGCGGCTCAACGCAGGAGCATCCCCTACTGGCCCACCACAGCACCTGCACCAGACCCCAGCCCCAGCTCCTGCCACAGGGCAACTGCTTCCTCTCCTGCCAACCTGCAGCCCCAGCAGAACAGTGCACCAGTGCCAGATGCTGCCGAGTGCCCCTGGCTGCCTGCATCCTTGCTGGGATCTCACACTGCCTCTGCCCCTTTGTGCCACAACAAACTGGCTGCTGTGCCCAGAGCCCTGGGACCCAAGAGATGCAAGTGCCTTCTCCCAGGCCTGCCCCCCACCACGGCCCAGTGTCGTCCCTACCAGGGAGAGCATTTTTCAGATCTCGCCCATCGCAGCCATCTCCTTGCCCCCCCGTGCACAGGGACCAAGCAGGGCGGGGTGCCCTCTTGCCCACAGCATAGTTGCACCAGCTGGAGGAGTGAACAGCCCCCTGCAGTGCTGCTGCCAGTGTGCCTGCGCCACCCCAGACTGAGGAGGTGCAGGCGTTTCACACAGAGCAACAAGAGTCTCTGAACCTCCCTGGCTCAGTGCTTTAAAGACTTCAGCTCCAAACCCACTTCCCCGGGAGGGTTTTACAAACACTTCTGACCCCAGCAAGGCTCCTCCAGATGTCCCCGGGCCCCTTGTGCAGCTCACAGGGACTTGGGGCTGTTGCAGGGACCATGTCATGTGGAGTGGTGCACAGAGCAAGAAGCAAGGTCTACAGCATGGGCACGGGGTCACTGACCATATGCAAGTTCCCTGCCCCACGGCGCCAGCCCAGGGTCCGACTCTCGCTCACAAAAAACAGCTCCTACCCCAGGCAAACAGTCCCGCCGGCATCCAGGGCTGTGAACGCAGGCTGAGGGACCGGGCTATGCAGGCACCTGGGCGTGGGGGGCAGTTCTGCTGTGCAGACGCACCAACGGCCCGACCCTCCCCCAGGACAAGGGGGAGACAGCAAAGATGCACTCACAGGGAAGCTGCCGGGTGCCTCCTTCTCTGCCTGTCCAGATGCCTCCTTCTCGAGACCTGCAACACAGGAAGCAGCAGTGAGAGCTGCCTGCAGAGCACAGCCTGTCGGGGACCTGGGGACAGCCTGGTCCCACGGCACAGTGGGGGAGTGCAGTACCAAAGGACAGACCAGGGCAGGGCTGCTGTGACACAAGGAGATGCGGAGAGAGCGCTGGGCGAGAGGCGGGGAAACAGCAAATGCTTCCACGTGGGGCACTGCCCGAGCAGAGGCGGTTGCGCCAGCCGCATCTGCCCCCTGCCCAAACGGGAGACCCTGAGCCTACAGAGCCCCTGGAGGGTGACTGGGGTAACACAGCAAGGGGCTGGCTGGTGCCATGCAAGGTCATTACCCTCCCGGGACACTCAAAACCAGCTGTCCCCGGCGACGGTGTGTGCCCATGCACGCCCTTCCCTGGGGACAGCTGGCTCCCCAACCACCCACAGGCCTTCATGGGACCTCCCAGCCTCAGCCTGCTGAGCATCCCATTGCATAGGAGTTGGCAGGGCATTGCCAAAAGAAACATGTGGCTGAGGCCTCAGGTACCTGCTGCCTGAGAAGAGCCAATCTCCTGGGAGCATAGCCCGGCCCAACTTACAAATCATTGCTGCAGTCTCTGGTACACTGGGCCCTGGCTAATCACGAGTGCTGTACTCTACTCCAGGTATGGCTGCACTCACATGTGCGCACATGCGTGAGCATGCACACACACATTTTCCCTGCACAGGAGCAGGATCCTCTGGGATGAAAGGCGTCGCTACATGGCGGGTTTGACTGCGGGTCAGGAACGTGGTGCTACGGGACACCTGTTTGCTGCTCTTGCTAACGCACACAAGCCTCGTACCAGAGGAAGGTTTCACGTGACCCTTTGTATTCTCGACAGCGGCAGCAGAGAGGAGACGACTGCTCCTGCAGGCTCTGGCATTCACAAGTCTCCTGCAGCCTCACGTGACTTGCAGTGGAGATTACCACATCAGTTTATTGATGACTGTGAGAGCAACCAGCTCCTCGCTCATGCACAGGGCACACGCAAGCACCTTCTCTTCCAAACGCAGAGGCATCGGGGAGCAGGGCCCTGCACCCACCCCCACGGCTGCAGAGCCTAGTTCATCCTCCCCCCTTAGCCTGCTGTGGCAGCCTGGGGACTGCACCACGGGCCTGAGATTCCCCTGCCTGCTCTGGGGCTTTGCTTTTGCTGGCGCCAGGCTAGAACAGGCTGCTCACAAAAGGGGCATGAGTGGCACCGATGGGGCCCGGGGAGTCGTGCCCTGCAAGCTGGCTTGGTGCCAGCGCACAGACCGAGAATGCAGAATAAAGGCCTTTTGCACAAAACCCCTCTCTGCCTGTAACAGTGGGCAGCTGCTTCTCAAGAGCTTCCTCCCTCGCAGCCTGTCTGCAGAGTGCTACAGCTCTGTGTGCCTGCCTGGGAGAAATGATTAATGAATAAGCAACAAACTGTCCAGGCAGCAGCTTTGGATTTGCCACAAGGCTCTTTGCCATTTGCACCTATAGCTCCAATATCGATTTGATTTCACCGCTGCCTGGCTTTTAATTATCTGCAAATGGATCCGCTCTGTAAATGCAGCAGGGCAGACAAAACAATGCAGCCACTGGCAAATGCGACTTGCTGGAAAACACGCGTGTGCAGCCACCCCCGATGGGCTCGTTAATGTGTGGGGACGGAGAAGGGTAGAGCAGAAGGATCACGCGCACAAGCCCAGTCCAGCCTGCAGCCTGCGGCTTAACCTGGGTCTCTCAGCAGCCAGATGAAGAGACTGCTGGTTGATCCCCAGCAGCTCTGGGCTGCTGCCACTTGCGCAGCGCTTCAGCCATGCTGCGTGTAAACTGCTCACGCTTCTTCTAGTGAATACTTTTAAACATCAGCCCAGGCGCTGCCAGCGCCCCTGCAGCTACACACACGCTCGACTGGTGCCAGACAACAAGCTGAATCGGCAGGTTCGGACAAACGGGGATCGATTTCCGACCTGCCTTCTCCCCTGCCCAGTTTGTGAGCTGACCAAACAGGCCCTGCTACCTCCTGCCGGCTTCACAGGGCACGACTGACTCTGCAAGCTGCCTGCCCGAGCCATGCAACATCAAGGCTAGCAGGAAAACCTGCCCTGCAAGCAAAAGCGAGCCTGAATTAAAACTGCAAAGTCACTGCCTGGGCCCTTTTCGAGCAGCAGTGATGGAAATGCGCTTTCTAATGTGCCTCTGTCAGCATCACCCATGGGAAGTGCTACAGCCAAAGGGGATGAATAGAAGCTCGTGGATCTTCTACAACACGTACAACACATGGGAGCAGCCCACGGGCTTTGTTGCAGCACCGGCACTTGTCAGCCTCCCGGTGCGATGGCCTCAAGAAGCCCAGTCTGCGGTTGCAGGCTGTTTTGGAAATAGCTCGGCTGCTCTGGGCAGGCAACCTGTCGGCCTATAGAGTCGGATATCAAGAGAGCCACGGACAGCGACGCCGTACCTGCTTCCGAGGGGGGGAACGCGAGTTTCGTGGCAAGCGCAGGGATGGTGGAGCATTCGAAGTACTCCAGGTCGTCTTCGGCCTCCCCTTTCGCTTCCAGCCCAGGCAGCTTCTGGCCGCAGGACGTGGAGGCCAGCTTCTCCTCGTCTGTGGCATGTCCGTCCCGATTTGTGACGTCCGGGATGTCAGAGATTGGCGCTCCTTCTCCCTAGAGGGTTGGGGTACACAGAGAAACATCAGGCTAATTAGGTCAGCGAGTCATTGGAAAAGCAGGGATGGCTTGTCACCCCCCGACAAGTTGCTGCGACCAGCCCCTCAGGAAGGTTTTGTAAGACAGAAGCATTGCGGGGGAGCAAAGCAGCAATTCCCGCAGGGACAAAGCCCCTCCAAGTGTTAAATCCCATGCACAGAGGCTGCCCCACTGGACTGGGACCAGATCACGGCACGGTTTTTGTCGCCTGCCCCATGCCCTGGGAGCCGCACAGAGCATTTAAGGACTGGGCCCCATTTCTTGGCCGGACAGTGACTGTAGGGGCCGTGCTCGTCCCCTGGGGGGTCCTTCGGCACCCCCTTGCAGAAGCCAGGTGCTGGTGGGGTGCAGAGGTGGCTTCACCGGTGCGTGAGGGGCGAGAGCCCACCAGCCCTTCCCGGCAAGTCTGACTGAGGGTTACACGTCGCTACAGGAAACCTGGGTCCAAAGCCAACCTCCCGCAGCGGCTCCCAGGACAGTGACCTGGAGCCACAAGCACCCCTGCTTCCCCTCACCCCGCTCCTCTCCCACGAGCACCCGCTGCTTTCCGAGGGCCGCCAGGGAGAGCCGCCCGCCCTCCCGCACGTACCTGAGGGCCGACATCCAGGACCAGGGGCTGCGTTTCGTACTTCTTCACCTTGCAGCCGCTCCTGCGGACAAGACAGACAGACTGCTTTAGGCCTGGGGGGGCTGCCAGTCGTGGAGGGGATGGGGGAGGTGGCGGGAAGGGCAGGTGCGGAGACAGCTGAAGCAATGACGGGCAGCCCCAGCGCTAGCATTGCACCCCGCTGACAGGACGCGGTCCCCAGCTTGTCGGGGGAGACCGCGACAGGCGCGTCCCGAAACACCGCACCGCGCAAAGAACCAGCCAACCATCCCACGGTTTCTTCAGCACGTTTATTCCTCCCATTCCCCTCCACAAAAGAAAAGCCCAGAGGCAGTGACTCCGGGGGCGGAGGATGAGGACCGAAGCTGGAAGAGAGCGCTCTCCCTTCTCCATCATCCGGAGCTTGCCCTGGCGGCATCATCTGGCCGATTTCATTAGGGGGCAGCAGTTCTGCCCGGGCCCTTCACCGGGCACAGCAGCAGGTCCCCGCGCCGCCCGACCTCCGTGCTGTCTGGTGCCCGCAGCATCCGAGCATTGGCAACTCTGCCTGGTCATCTCCTTCCCACATGGCAGATACTGGCACCGCTCCACTCCTCTTCAGCTTCGGCCTCCCTCTCTGGTTAGGGGCAAAGAGACTCCTGGCAGAGGAGGGGCTGGAGCTCACCCTCCGGGCGGTGGGATTTTCAATCCCTCCAAACAAGACAGCTTTCCCGACAGCAACCGGCGGCCCTGGCTGCAGTGAGAACAAGCCCAGGCAGCAGCATGTGGACGGGGGTTTCTGTGAAGGCGCCGTACACCCGGGCCTTGATTTGCAATGAGACCCTGCTGCACCCAGCTGCCTTCCCTCCAAGCATCCTCATGGCTCCTGCTCCCTCTCCCTGTCCGCAACGCTCACTCCCCACACGTGGCACAGGCAGGCACTAACGGGCGCACGGCATGACGCTACATGGCGTGCCCTTGAGGGACGCTGCTTGCAAGGTACCGCTCGCACCTGTGTCCACCTGAAAACCTCTCCAGACTTTGTTCGTCTCCAGGACTCAACTGCAAACAGTTGCAGCTCGCGTCCCAGAGACCCTTAGCTGATCCCCTCAGAAAGAGAGCAATTGCCATGAGAGGTCCCAGGCACAGGGCAGCCCACTGGATCAAAGCACCCACCCCCCAGTAGCAAGACAGCTCTGCAAGCGGAAGGGGCAGGGAGACCACAGCCAGCCACAGGCTAAGGGGCATGCCCTACACAAGCTGGGCGCCACAGGCCACTCCACACTCTGCATCTACAGCCGCCTGTTTGCCAGGACAGAGCTCCCACTCAAGCAAGTCAAGTTACATCGGCTCAGGGAAACATCTGCCATGGGGGCTCCTAAATCCACGTGCGAGGTTGGTCCACGAGCCCACGGCTCCCCACATAGCAGCACAGGACTCTGAACGGCTCGGACATGAGTGCCAGCCCTGGAGCCCGGCTCTGCTCCCGTCTGCACGTGCTCTAAGTCCCCCCCCGCCGCTGCACTAGCGGACAACGGGGGTGTTTACCGGGAGGACGCGCCATACAGAAACTGAACCTGCCTCCCCAGCTAGTCCTGAGTGTCCTGACCTCTGCTTCCACCCCCAAACGAAGCCTGAGCAGTTTGCTAGACAGGCAAGAGCCAGAGGGACAGAGCGCCACCCCCCGCGGACAGGACCAGGACCCATAGGCCCAGTGCACTGTGGCTTGCCCTACTTTCCTCCTCACCAGCACGAGGTGCACAGAGCTGAAGCACAGCACTGCCACGGAGGTAGCGCCAAGGCAGGGCCAGGGGACCTCTGAGGAGCACTCAGCATTTTGCAGGCCTCTCTACCCAGGGTGCTCATGCACAGGGGTGCCGCATGCACTAGTTTGTGACAGGCAGGGGGTCCCGTGTGCCAGGCCAGGCTGCACTGAGCTGCTGCTGCTGGGGTGGCACAGCTCCTCTGCCCAACGCCCTGGCACCCATCCGTCTCCCCGGCTGCTCTAGCCAGGCTCTGCAGCTTATTAAGACCAGCCAGATGCTTAAGAGAGCCCCTCCCCGGGACAAGCACTGTGCATTGAGGGGCAGCACCTTCCTTCTGTCTAGGCCCAGGAATTAGCCGGGAGGCTGCGCTATGCCAGCCTGGTCCATTCCTGTCCTCCCTACTACCATGCTGGGGCCAAGTCTACTTCTCTGGAGCCAGCACCTGCTGTCCCAGCCCACCCTAACCTTATTTCTAATATGGCCGAGCTGCCGCCAGGCTGGAGCACTGGCTCAGGTCTCCGGAGACTGGGGCCCTCCCACTTTGCCTGCGGGGCGACCTGGGACAGCGACTTCTTTCTGCTCCCGCCCTGCGTTTGCACAGTCTGCCGTGCCAGAAGAGGAACCACCTCCGAGCACGGTCACAGCAGTGCCCAGTTCTGTCTGGGCACCTGGCACTACTGCAGGGCCAACGACGAACCTCTCTGCACTCGAGCACTTGCAGGCTTCATACGCCGTCACAGCATCAAAGTGCACTGCAAGTGGCATGCCATGAGAGCAAGCACAGGCGCACACCGCAGGCACGGCCGCTGTCCCGCCCAGCCCTCCGCACTCCCCCTCACAGGGCTCAGCTGCCCGGTGGAACGAAACCGGAGAAGTGCGGGCAACACGAGCCGGACCGCAGAGCTCCAGAAGCAGGAAGGACCCTGCATGCCGGAGAGAGGTGGGGCTGGAGGATGCCAACACACACCAGAAACAGAAGAGGAAACGGAAGAGTACTTACAACAGAAAACAGAGAAATTTCACTTGTTCAGTTGTCCTGAGGCACCAAAGAACGGATAGGAGAGACAGACAGATGGAGGGAAAAAAAAAAAAAAATCAAAGCATATGTAAAGACCCGGATAGCATCTCTGTCCTGCACAGTCCTGTCCTTGGGGGCATGCAGGCACGAGGTGTTTGCCCTCGGAGGAGGTGGCCACAGTCCATTACAAATCAAAATCCCTCTGCTTCCCACACTTCCCTTCCTGTGCCCTGGCTGCTGCTCCCTTCTCAGGTGCAGCAGCAAGACCCCCAAACTTCCCAGGAAACCCATCTCCGGTACACAGCCGCTCCCTGCTTTGCTGCTGCACACTAACCCTTTGCCCCGGGGGTTGTATCAAGAGACTCGACTCTCGCCTGACACGTTGCTGCTGGTGTTTCATCATCCTGCAACTTCAAACCCTCCCTCCAAATGAGGTCAGCCAGAGCCTTCAGGCCGATGCAGACCGGACTTGGGAGCACCCTGTGCTAGCATGGAGGAGACACGGAGGACGCAGCCCGGGGCGTGCTGCAACAAGGCAGCCTGCATTCCCGGGGCGCCGGGGGGCCTCGCAGCCCGATTCAGAACGGCACGGCTCGCGGGCTTAACCGACCCACGTGCAGCAAAACCGCTCTGTAAGGGAAGACAAAGCCCGTGCTGCCTGTGCCAAGGCCGAAGAGCGGACAGCACAAATGGCCTGCCAGTCTAACGGTCCCTCTCTGAGCTAGGGACAGGAAGTCCTGTGCCAAGCTGCAAAACCTCTCAGCGGTACCTGGTTTATTTCCAAAAACAACCACAAATTGGCTGCTATCAAGACGCTTGGAAATTTCCCCCCACCCCGCCATGGTGCAGTTGTTTTAAATGCCTGGTCTGATGCCCCTTGCTTTCAAGCTCCAGACACTGGACTCTCACCACGCCGTGCTGCTTAACACCCCGAAAACCCTCTCGCAGGCTGGTGCCCCCAAGACATGCCGGGACAGCTACCCCTTGCTGTCTGAAACACCAGGCTGTGCGGCCCCCCAAGGAAAAGCAAGCGCTGCTGAGCTCATCTGCCTCTCTCATCTCATCAGTTCCCGAGGAACAAGAAGTCCCGGGTAGAAGAAGAGATGCAGCTCAGTCTGCTGACAGCACAGGGCAGCCAGACTCCTAGGGGTGCTGCAGACTCTGGCCATCTACTGTGACCCCTGATCTCTTAGGCTCCTTCACCGGAAGAACAAGGATGAGAGCAACGCAGTAGTGATTATTCCCAGGCTCTCTGGGAAAGATGGGAGAGAGCAGCTCGTCCAGAGAGCAACCATCAGCTGCCCATCCCCACCACGGGCACCAGAGCCGCAAACCCAGCATGCACCGCCACTCACGTTATCAAACGTGACTTGGCTTTCTTTGGCGAGCCTTTGCCTAGCAGCAGCTCCTCAACCTGCACCTCCAGCGTCTGAGACTCCAGGATTTCATTGAGGTCGTTATCAGCGGTGGGGCAGGGGTCAGCAGCTGTGTCGTCCAAGCTCTTGGTGGGTTTGAAAGGATCCACGGAGTCAAAGTTAGTGGGGTCAAAGTGATACGACCCCTTGGGCACGGTCGGGGAGTTCTGCAAAGCAGAGCTGCCCCCAAAGGGGTTGAAGCTGGAACTGTCCCACTGGCTGGGGTCCCCCTTGTAAGACCCTTTGGGGGGTGGCACGTCATCCACGGCCCCAGACACACCTTCTGCGCCTGTCGGCTTGAGAGCAGCATCCCTCTGCCGCTTGGGCGTCAGCTTGCTGCCTGGCTTGCGGCTGGCTTTCTTCGATGGAGCTCTCTTGCCCTCTGGGTTGTCTGTCTCGGGCGTAAAATCAAATTCTAGTTTCAGGGCATGCCCCCGGGTCTCCTCCAGCAGCTCCCCTGCATTGCTGCTGGCATCACTGCCAGGAACAGGGAAGGTGTGCGGGGCTGCTGGAGGAGAGTTCGGTATTTTGGACCCTCCCGTCACAAAGGGGTTCACGCTCTCATCGTACTCCTCCGGATTGAACTGGTATGACGCCTGGGGGACTGGGACCCCCTCCTCCGCCGGCTCCACGTCCACCTTCTTCCGAAGGGAAGGTGGCTTCATTTTCTTCAGCTTACTCTTGCTGGGCACCCGCTCCAGAGCAGCGCTGGCAGCCTGGGGCTCATCATCCACTGACCCTTTGAGAGAGATGACCATGTCTTCTCTGGACATCCCCTGCTCCCAAGGGGCTATGGGGGCATCGGCCGTCACAAGCTGGTCTGGAGCTGATGTTCCCAAGGATTCAGGGCCGGTTTCACTGCCAGGCGCTGCCACTTCTGTTCTGGGAGCATGTGGCATCACTGGGGAATCTCTGCCAAGCCTGAGGCTCGGCTCCGCGGGGCAGTGCTGTTCGCCCGCAGGGACCGAGAGAGCTGCCTGCGCCTCATCCTCCCAGCGCGTTTGGTGCAAGGGCTTCTCAGGAACTTCCACCGCCGGCTGGTCACCGCTGCCGGGGAGCTCTAGAAAGAGACAGAAGAGGCACGTGAGAACTGGGCGACCCACAACATCCCCAGCCAACCCTGTACAGACAGGCAAGTGGAAGGGGTCACGAATGGGCTTCTCAGGTGCCAGGGGCCCTACACCAAGATGTCCCCCTTTGCACAGATCACCCGAGATCCCCTTGCAACCACCAGCTGCTCCCCAGCTCAAGGCCCCAGTGGGAAGACTGGATGTACAGGATGAGAACTGGGGACACGGCGAAGCCAAGCAGGAGACAACGCCCCTGCAGGAACCAGCACAATCACGCACCGCATCAACGACCCTCCACAAGTCTCCGCTCCCGGCTTCCCTCCCCTGCAGCCCTCTCGGACTCGGACTGCCCAGGGAGCAAGATGGGCTTGGCAGTGCGACTGGACAGCAAACGCATCCAGGCCCTAGGGAAATGCCTGGCTTGGGAGGATCACCCAGCACTTCTTGTGGGCTCCCACCGATAGCAGCCAGGCTGCCAATGCTGCATGGAAACAGCAGCCAGAACCACTGCTCATCCCGACAGAGAGCTAAAAACCCAACCCATCTCCAGAGACCACCCCGGAAAAGCCACCTGCAGAATGGAAACTCCTTCCCGGGGTTCCCGCAGGTAGCAGCACAGGGGCGCGGGCTCAGAGGAGAAGGGGCGGTGTGGGTAGTTTCTGACTCCCCGGTTATAGGCGAGCCATCAAGTTACATGTCTCAGGGCACTGCCCCAGGCCGGCTATGAATTCGGTGCAGCCAGGGCCCTGCTGACCTCCCTTGAGGAATGCAAAGGGACTTCTTTAAAGGCCACGAGCAGCCGCTGTAATCAGCCATTCGGGCCCAGCTGCACCACCAGCAGCCGTTTCGGCTGCCCCACGATGTTCCCCAGCCCACAACTTCTGTCCCCATGGGAGGAAGTGTCCAGCTAAAGGCTGACCAGAGTGGGACTGCTCAGAGCGGTGCTCAGCCTAAGGACGCTCAGCTGGGAAGAACCCAGCCCCTGGGAATACTAAGGCCCCGTGCCAGGATCCTGCACGCAATTGCACCCACGTGACGGGACAGTGGCCTCAGAGCAAGAATCTCTCCCTGGGCTTCGACAAGACTGCAGCTTTGCTCACAGGAGGCGACATCCAGGGATGGGGCACCAGGACGACCAGCAGCCCCTCTAGGCTCAGTGAGCTGTGCCGTGACACACCAAAGGCATGGGCCACATCTTGTCCCTGCACTCACGCTGGCAAAAAGGGGGTGCCCGGTGTAGGGAGAGCGCAGACCACGCGCGTCACTGCCGGATCGGGCCCAAAGAGAACATCTCAGGGCTCCTCATGACTCGAGCGCTGAGCTGGTCTGACAACGCTCCAGCTCGCCTCCGGCACCTCTGCCTTTGCTCTCCAGAAAGAGCCTGATTGATTGTGACAAGCCCAGCAATCAGGCAGGGCTCGACCACACCAGACAGCACTGCTACTGCACAATGTCCAGGCCCTTCTGGAGAGCTGAGCCATGCCAGGGTGGGCTGTGCCAACCCTCACATGCTTCCTGGGGTTTCCCATGAGCTGTGCCCCTTGGAAGGACTCTCTCTCTTCCTGGGCATGTGCCGTATGCCTGACGTGCAGGGCAGCATGCAAGGAGCTGGGGAGGGTGCTGCCTGGAGATGCGTCTCACAAGCATTAGATACCACGTGTCTGAACAGCAGAGGAGGCAGGTGGGTGGCGAGCAGGCTCCGGTTTGTATTTTAACGGCAAGCTCTAGCTGGGGCAGCCCACATGCACCTCCACTCGCATGCCATGCATGGCGCAGGTCACTGCGCCACGTACACGTAGGAAGCCACAGCACCCACCCTACTAGGACAGAGACACAAGCTGGGCCCGCACTGCCAAGCCATCGTGCCCAGCTGCAGTGCCCTCAGACACACCAGGCTGGCAGCTCCACGCTGCCATGGCACTGCAGACAAAGTGCCGCGGCTCTGGGTCAGATGGGCCCTGCGGGAGCAGGGAGCAGGGCACTGTATGCCAGAGCCCCCTGTATTGCACAAAGACAGGCAGCAGTCACAGGTCCTTCACACACCAGCACTGCAGAGTCCCCCTGCCCCTAAAACCCCCCGCACATGTCCAGCCAGGCAATCCAGCTTGAACTGTCAGCCTCGGCCCAGCTGCCTGCCACCCTGATGGGAAAAGAAAGGTTTGAAGCGCTGCTTCTCCTGGGCTATGGTATCAGGGCTAATTAACACTTCCCCTTTTGAGCCAGTCCAAGCCAGGCTTTTGGATTGACTGGCAGTGTATCAACCACAGCCCAGATGCCGGTGTTTGGGGTGGGAAGAGTAGGCAGCACCCAGCCAAAATCCCAAGCAGGCGGCATGACAGGGCACTCCGGAGGGCACCTGCACTTCAGCTCTGGATGAGACGAAGCCCCGGTCCCACCTCCCTGACTCAAGGCAAAGGGCTCTCAGCTGCCTCTCACCGAGTCAACTCCCTCGGCTTGTGGCTGCTGTGTGCCCGGGCAGGGGGGAGCTCGGATGCCTCTGGAGGGGGCACAGCCTCGATGGCAGGAGCATGCTGGAGGGGCCATCTGCAGCCGAGGCCTTACAAGTGATGCTGCACAGAGGCAGGGGCCCACAGCGAAACCCACCCCACGCACGAGGTGTCCACGTGGCGATCCAGATGCTGCAGCTACCTAATAAGGCTATAAATGGTTTGGGCACCGAGTGCCAGGAGACAGCCCCTCTCTGCCGTCTCCACCCCACCCCATCGAGAGCCGCCGGGGCTCCCGCCTGCAGCTACAAGCAGACTGAACAAACCACATTTTCTCGGAGGCCCTCGAGTCTGCAGCTTGCTCCCTCCCCCACGCACAGAAGCTTATTCACACCCAGGCCGCAGCTAAGCCCACCTGTTTCTGCAGGCATGGGCGCAGGGAGGGGGAGCCGGGGCGTGCAGGGCGGCAGGCTGGCTGCCACCAGGGTTTTTGAGGGGCTCTGAGCAAGGCAAGGCCCAGCCTTGGCCTGGACTATTACTGATTTTAACTTCCTGAGAGCTGCCCAAGACAGGAAGCCACCGGGGATGGTGCCAGCTTCCCCACTCATGTCTCAGGCAGCACTGGAAAGCCCCTGGCTGCCCCACGGGGCACAGCAAAAGACAGGGAGCAGAGGAGCCTGCTGTGCCCCTCGGGGTCCCGATGCGCCTCTTGTCACAAGCAAGGAAGCAACGGTGCCCTGAGCAGAGCGACGGGCCGAGATGAGCATCTGGGGGCAGGATCCAGGCTGAGCTGCTGCAGGATGGCTGCCCCCCCCCCAGCACGGTCCCCACACAGGGTGCAGAGACAGGCTGGGTGTTGGCCGCATAGCTCAAATTCCCCTGTGCAGCCATTCATGGCCAGGGCGAGCCCTCCCCCACCTTCTGCACAGTCCTGCAGATGCCAGGGGAGGAGTCCCTCTCGGTGCTCAGGGCTAAGATGCTCCAACAAGGGTGCAGGGGTCGAGGCAGGCCCCGTGCTGGGCAGGGCAGGCGCTGCTAAGCCCCCAGCACCAGGCTCAAACGCCGCTCCCAGCCACTCACTCTGAGCAGGCAAAGGGGCCAAAGTCAGAGCTCCCTGGAGGCGCCACCCCAGCCCCCTCCACCCAGCAAGGGCTGCAGAGAACAGCCTGCCCAGAGCCCTGCCCTCATCTCCTCCCCTGGCCGGCAGCTGCATTTCCTCCGACTCCACCATCGGGGCCAAAGGAAAAGAGGGAACGCTCCTGCAGGAACAGCGGCACAGGACGCAAGCCCAGCAGAGCTTTCCTGCACCCCCCTCAAAACAGCAGCACCCCAAGCCAGCAGCGAGCAGCAGGCCTGGCACTGGTCTTGCAACAGCCTTGGAAAAGCCCCCCACCCTGTCCCCGCAGCCTAACGGCTGTGCCGCTCCGCCTGTGCATTGACATTCCAGTCTCCCTCGCCTCCCAGCCACCCCCCGGCCGTTGGTGAGTCATGTTTGGAGAGCCGGCCTGCCGGCGCCGTACAGCCCCCCCCTCACTCACGCGCGCCTGTCAGGAGCCCCCTGGGCGCTGCCGGACCAGCCGAGGGGCTGCAAGCCAGGCTGCCTCATGCCACTCGCCTGCACGATGCTGCAATGTAGGTGAACTCCGCTGCGCCGGCCCGAGCGAGACCAGGAGGACACACGCCAGATGCCTGCAGCTCAGTAGCGGCCGCTTGGAGCTCTTCGGACAGGGCTGGGAGCCAGCTCCTGCCACAGCCTCCTTGAACGGGCACCCCCTCCCCTCTGCACCCTGCCCACTAGGTCACAGCATGCTGGGCCCAAGGGGCAGTGGGCAGCAGCACGCGCTCCCAGGCTGGGCAGAGACAAGCCTTGACGAGCCCTCCCGCATGCATTAGCATTCCCTCCTCTGCCTCGTTCACAGGCGCCAGGCTCCGATAATGCCCGCAGAGCCCTTCCTCCCCTGCATCGCATGCCTCCGGCAGCCAGGCCAAGGAGCAAGGACTCCCCGCCACTCTCTGCAGCCTCTGCCTTTGACTCATGCTGCATGCATTCACTGGGCCAGGCATTTCTCATCCCTGGGGCAGAGCTCACCCACACAAAAGGCAGCCTGGGAGGCTCCCAGCAGGCTGCTAAAGCCAGAGACTTCCCTCCGGTAATGGACACCGGTCCCAGCGCCACTCTAGCGACCGTGAAGAATTAGGAGGCAGCTTCACCAGCCAGCAGCCAAGGATGCTGCTGCCACACCATGTAACAGGCCTGAATCGAGCAAAACAGAAGCAAACCCCGGCGAGAGCTGGGGCCCTGGGTGACAGATCTGAACGTGCGGATCCAGCTTGCTGCCCTGCACAACATGTTCCCCAAGGGAGCTCAGAGGAGGGGCCCTTGGCGAGAGGAGGACAGAATTACACTCTCCATCACCAGGGCAGCAAGAGGAAGCACATTCAAATGAGTCAGAGTGGGAGAGAGACAAACCCTGGCCCCTTGTCCTCAAAAGGAGGAATTCCCATCTCTGACAACCAGTACACCAGCCTGACCTTTCTGATGCATGGTGCAACCCCAAAAGTGGGCGCCCAGGTGCAAAGGCCTGGAGAAAACCAGCTCGGGGCAGCTGCGATGTACATGGTTTCTGAATTACCAGTGCTATCTAAGAGGGGAGGTACCCGGGCTCCCAATTCCTCTAGCCTGCGTGAGCCCAGGGACGGCCAGGCACACAGGTACGTACAGCCGCCAGCACCACGCTGCATGGAGAGGAGCGTACCTCCTGGGAGCAGCTGCTCCTCCGAGACTCTGGCCGCGCCTGGCGCCTGCTGCACACAACAACTCTGTTATTTAAACCTTG